TTTTCTCTAGAAATATGGTGATCCAGATTTTCCATTTATTCTTCTGAAGCCGTTTACTCTTTCTCTGGAAGCAGGTACTTACCCTTACTGTCGGAAAATCACGTATATCATACTACGTTACTAATCTGGATAAAAGACTAACATGAACAATTGCCGGTCCATGAGTATTACTCCAGTTATCTCTAAGATTATAGAAACATTGTTGGTGATGAACTGTGTAACTATTTACTCACTGAAAAGCTTACCAGTGTTTCGCAGCATGGTTTTCTTAAAAATCGATCTTGTATGACGTGCCACTTTGATTTCCTTAATTTAGTCATTACTCAACGTAACCGACGATGTACAGTTTTAGTCGTATACACTGCTATTTCTAAAGCATTCGACATGGTTAACCGCCAACTTCTTATGGGCACGCTCGCATCTTATGGGGCCAAAAACTGTCTGCTTGATTGGTTTGATTATTTTTTAGACGCCGACACTGAATAGTCGAAATTAAGTACTCCCTGTCGGATGTTGTCCCGGTCAAAGCTGATGTAATACAAGGTATTGTCTTAGAGCCCTTGCTCTTTTTAGTTTATGTAAATATTTACGACTACTTTTGTATGGGTAGGCCTCTTCCATGTGCAGACCATCTTAAAGTATGGTGTTCATTTTATCCGCATGAACTGAACAATATGCAGAATTGCATCAGTATGAAGCTCAACAAGGTAGCCCAGTGGTACTCGAAATGGTAGTTGGAGCTTAACACGAATAATTAAGGATAGACATGCTTCGACAATATATCGCTCAACTTAGATCCCATCATCAATGGTAAGGTGTTATCTACGTTCATACAGTAATGATCTTGGATAATTTTATATTTTGTGCTTCACAGAAAAATCCTCGAAATAGACCTCCAAGTCCCAACGTCTTATGTGCTGCATAATTCGTAACCGTTACAACAACAAGTCACGTACTTTAATGTGTTAAGTTTATGTTCGACCACTACTAGAATACTGAACTTTTAATCTTAGTAGTATTTGCGAAATTGACAAATTAAGGTTGGAATCCATTCAGAGACACTTTACACTTCGCATTCTTGGACCCGAATGTACCTTAAATTATAAGTTCAGATGAAATACACTTGAACTCAATCCTTTATGGAAGAGGTGACTCAAACTAAATCTAATCTTTTTCTTCAAAATACCTAAGAAAAGATCGTTTATACCCATCTGCCTTAAACCTTGCCAATTTTATGGATTATTAATTGAAATTTATAATTGTAGAACCTGATAAGAAATTATTGAAAACAATATTATTCGTTCCTATACCTGTATTTTTATGATGATGGGGGTCTTTTTATTCATTAAAATGTTTCATTACCTTCATGAAAAAGGAATCCAAACCTTTGACAATAATAGTTTCAATCATCTCATATAACTTACTTACTTACTTACACCTGTGACTCCTCGTCAAGGAGCATAGGTCGCTCACCAGCGTTCTGCATCCAACCCTGTCCTGATCAATCCTTTCCAGCTCCTTCCAGTTCCTATTGACCTTTTCATATCCGCTTCTATTATCCGACGTAATGTGTTCTTTGGCCTTCCTCTTTTCCGCTTCCCTTCAGGATTCCAAGTTAGGGCTTGTCTCGTGATGCAGTTTGATGATTTGTGTAATGTGTGTCCTATCCATTTCCATCGTCTTTTCCTAATTTCCTCTTCCGCTGGAAGCTGGTTTTTTCCCTCCCACAAAAGGCTGTTGCCGATGGTATGCGGCCAATAGATGTCCAGTATCTTGTGAAGACAGTTATTTATAAATACTTGTACCTTCTTGATGGTTGTTGTTGTAGTTTTCCAAGTTTCAGCTCCGTATAGTAGAAGCGCCTTGACGTTGGTATTGAAAATTCTGACTCCACCTGTAGCTCTTCTAGAGTTACTACCTGTCCCAAGTCCGGGTAAAGGAGGAGGGTTGGGCATGGGGTTAGCGACCCCATCCCGTAAAAACTAACTCGCTAAAAAAGCGCTAACCAGAAAAAATAATTTAAACTCTGCCCTGAAGTAAGAAGGTCTTCATTTAGAAGAATTATGACGCTTCATGGTGAAAGCCGAGTTCCCTCGGAAGCCACGAGGCCGATGCCCTTCTAACAACTAGAGCAAAAATGTTTATAGGTACATGGAACGTCCGAACATCTCATATAAACAAGAATTTTAAATAGGTATTTCAACTATTTCTAAATGATCGATTGTTTATCGATCACTGGTTCTTATTTATTTCCTAAAATTATAATAATAGTATCTCTTAGGCCTTATTTATTATATTTCCTTTTTCTGAATTCTTAATCTTACATTTAAACTAACTGAGCTTAATTTATGATTGATTATTTGATCACAGAAATATTTAATTTTAACCTTTAGTTTTCCTTTTCCTTCTCTTGTCATAATCAATATTTCATAACTTTTCTTTAATTATATAAGACTTTTTGTCTAAATTTGATCGAATAGTTTCACAGTATTTATTGAATTCTTTGAAATATTATTAGATTGTCAGCGGTTGATGAAAATTAAATGAAATCAAACAAAACTCATGTTATTCTATTCATATAAACGTTCATGACCATTAAATGTTACAATCTGTTGAAAATGATGATTAGTTTTTTATGGAATTTTGTTCTCTGAGCTGGATGGTTTTGTCGTGGAGCTTTCATCGTTCTTCTGAACGATATCATCAGCACAAAATTCAGATAGTTAAGAGCATAGAAAGTTGTAAACAACCAATTATGTTAGAACATAATTATATAAACGAAGAATATCCTTTCAATGAATTTCTTATCAGGTTCTACAATTATATAACCAAATTATTAATCTATAAAATTGGTAAGGTTTAAGGCAGAGTATATCATTTAAAATTGTAGCATGTGAATCAAAGATTGTTGCTTGTCATATAAAATAAAATAAAATCGTTAATATTACAAAGGGTTTTTTGGATATTATAGTAATTTTAATAGTTGAGATCATGAGTCAATTGAAGCTGGACCACCATGGAAAACCTGGAAGCACTGGATGGCCGTTTCGTGCTAGTATGAGAGAAGCAGTGACCAGTGGAGTTCAACCAGGTCAGTTGTGAGATAGTAACTCACTGAAGACAATGGTGGATATGTCACTCAATTGCGTGGATTAGTTAAAGTTAGACATTAACACAGCTGGATGCCGACCGTTCCAGTGGTCTAGTGGTTAAGCGCTCATGCGCAAAACTGATAGTTCCTGGGTTCGGATCTCACGTGGCGGGGTCGTGAATGCGCACAGCTGACGAATCCCATACTAGGACGACACGGTTGTCCAGTACTATCAGGTTTTCTATGGTGTTCTAGCTTCAGTTGACTCATGATTTCAACTATCAAGTCGTTAATGTTAGTACTGACTAATATGAAGTTGTTGACTTGAATCAGTTTATAAGTGGAATGAAATTGTGAGATCAACGATCACAATAAATATAGTCTACATGGGATGAAAGAGAGAATAATGTAATTACAAATCAGAAATTATGTAATATGTAGAATAATATGAATAAGGTCAGATATAGTAGGTAGGAGTGGTTGCTCAATAGATTTCTTAAAAAGGTTAGCAAGGGTAATAATAATAATAATGACAATTATGTTTTAATATTGTTACCATTTGAATCAATATATACTGATTACTTACGATTGTTTTTTTAAATATATTTTGAACTGTAAAATGATAAGTATATTTGAAAAAATCCTAGCGGTGGCTACACTAAATCTGGGTTCTTATCATTATAATAAGTATCAATTAACTAAACAAACCCTTTGTTAATCTTATCTTCATTAATATAAAAATTAAATCGTGAATTCCCATTTTTAAAAATGTTTTTCTTTTCTAAAATCTTAGCGAATTAATTCCTCGAAAAAACTTGGATCAAACTTCTGATTAACTTCGAATTCATTCGCTGAAATTTTACAAACACCTTCTTTCAACAGTTAAGATCATGAGTCAATTGAAGCTAGACCACCATAGAAAACCTGGAAGCACTGGATGAACTCATGATCTCAACTGTTGAAATTACTACAATCTCCACAAAACCCCTTCAAATACCTTCTTATTCCTTAATGTTTTACATCAACTCGGCGCCCAAATACTGTGAAACTAATCGGCCAAATTTAGACGATAGGTTTTATAGAATATTATAAGCTGACCTTTTATCAAAATAAGGAAAACTATTGTAGATGTTATTTCAAGTCATTCTTATTGATGATTGCCCAAAAAAATCTTTTTTCTTTCATCAAAGACGTGTTCCTGTCAAAACGTATTATAATGGTATCTGTAGTGAACAGAACAAGGGTTGGGACAATCTAATACATTTATCACAAATTCACAGAGCTACTTTGTAAGATAGAAAAACAATATAGCGAATCGTTAATTTGCAAAATATTATTTCATCATATTAAACCGGACTGTTCCTGTAACAATCATCAACCCATTGTCTCACATTTCATTGTTCATGCCTTTTCTTACAAATTGCATTGTATTCTTGCTCTTTTTTCATTGATCTTCCCTCATCTTCTGCTGCCAGATATTACGTTCCTGACTCGTGTCATATACTACTTACATCAATATAAGTAGCACGCACCACAGTATCTTTTAGAGCATATTGTAAAACTCTCTCCCTAATCCTACTTCTCCTGTTCAAATCGTAGGAACTTATAAGTCTACTTAATTAATTCAATCATTATAAACAAATTGAAATACAATTACATTCAAATTTAATATCTGTACTCTTGAAAAAACAAAAGATCATTACTTGAACAAGTGCACCTATTTATTGATCAGATCATATGATCTGAAGATATTCTATAAGATAAATAAATATTGGTGGAAACAAAAAGAAAACTATAGTCAATATCATTTTTTTCGCCATTCAAATGTCAAGCATATATTTTCATTATATGAATTTGTTTGATACCCAAAAGGTGTGAATAATTCAATAGAAACGAACAACGACAATAGATGAAAATATTCAGCATGAATATATTCTGCTTATTCTTAATAATCTTTCGAATAGTCTCAATATTATCTGTGAACTATAGAAAAGAAAATTACCAGACACATGAACATCATAGTAACAATCACAAAGATGCTCATTCACATCATAACCATCATGTGCCTCACCATCATGAACATTATCGAGGAAATGATCGAAGACATGAAATCCAACCAAGACATCATCATAATTATCATCATCATTATCCACAAGCAGAGCGAAATCACTTGAAAAAACCAGAACATCAAGAAAGTCAAGAACACAAACCGATGACTGAAGAATACCACCATGTTTTAAAACCTCAATCTCATCAACAAGAAGAAAATCGACCAAAGAATGTAGATTATGTATCAAAACATAAAGAAAATCACCGTCATCCATCATCGAAATCAACTCCATCTCAATTAATTAGTTCAACGAGCCAAACTGAGAATGAAAATAACCATTATCCTCCGATTCAATCAAAGGAAAAAACTAGTTATTCTACTAAGAAAAATCTATCAGATAAGCAAACTGATGAGAAAATTAACACAAAACAGATTGAAGGTAAATCAAATGAACCTGAGAATTCATTATCTGACAAAGATTACCATCATCATTATCAGCATTATTATCAACATCGTTATCATCATCCGAATCATGAAATTAGTAGTACGAAAACATCAGCTGAAAATAAATCAACCGAGCAACATATCTATAAATCCAATAAAAAATCACTTTCACAAAAAAACAATATACAATCCACATATCAAACAAAGTCAACTGCTGAATTGAAGGTTGAAAGTATAACAGCAAAAGAACGTTCTCTGAATGTTAAAAAAGAAAATGTAAGTTCCTAGCTTTGTGAAAATGAATTATGTATTTAATTATTGATGTTTCAAACTGTTTTTTTGTTGTATTCCCTTCACTGTTTAGTTGATATTAGTCCCAGAATCATATTATGACCTAAAACATTTAGGTTTAATTGCTTTAAAGTATCAAATGCTTTGTATTAACTGAGATTCACATTAGTAAAGCACAACAATATTATTTCTTAGAATGAAAACTGTATTCATTACGGACTGCTGAAGTAACAGATAACGATACGACCTGATGACTAATGGTAATAAAGAAAGATTTCAGGACAATGACTTCGTCAATAGCAGTCCAGCAGTCTATTGAAAGAATTACACTAACCAAATAATATTTATACATTACAATGACATATTTCTTTGTTAAGTATATATTCAGTCACTAATTAATATTTAATAGTAGGAAATATTTTCCTTCGCTTAAGTATTATCTATGACAATGTATTTGTTCATTTTATGAAACCACCAGGCATATATATATATATATATATATATATATATATATATATATATATATATATATATATATATATATATATATATATATATATATCAACATTCCAGTCAGTAAATAGGCAGTGTCGCGTATGTAAGTGTATTTTAACTTTACAATAAAGTAGTCAGGATCTTTAATCACAAAAAAACAGGTTAATCATTTGCGAACAACAGTTGGTGAATCACTTAGAAATACAGATCTTTGAACAACTGTTTTATTTAAAGATGATTAGTGGCTAGCAGTGGAATTCAAGACGGCGTTCAAAACGTTTGAAATGAACGGTACTGGGCCCGAATCCTGGAGTGAACATGAACTCTGGGATGCAGGTACATCCAGCTGATGAGTATCAAATAGGACGAAACGTGAGTCTGGATTCCACTGCTAGCCACTATCCATCTTTGCTTACAAAGCTCGTGACTTGATTGTGACCTAAGGCAATGTCGAGGCAATCCGCACAGGATGCATATATGCCAACAATCGCAGTCCTAAACAACAGTCGAAAGATACAAGCAAATGACACCAAGTGTTTTATTTTGGTTTTGAACTTCATAGCAGTGCAATAGCTATTTAAAATTAGGATTATGTAATAATTAATTCCAATTTAGTATTCCTTGTCTTAAGACTCCAAATTACTGCGTTTCATCTTTAGTTGACTCATGCATGAATATTAATGATGAGTCTAAAAGTAAGGATCTTCAATGACCTGGAAGTTGATATCAGCCAATGATGAAAGTTAGTGTTGAAGATGATCACTTATCATAAATATATAATACTTTATTAAGCTCTTACAAGCTTTTTCATAACTAGGAGCCTTTTCTCTTTTTTTCACCCTCTATTACACTCATTAAACCTGTTTACTACAAAATAACTTAGTGTAAATATCTTAATCAAACAATAAGTCAATCACATAACCACGTAGCTGAATAGTAGCACCAACCACTGAATGGAAATTTATACACTGATTTTAACTGATGAAAATTATTATACCGCACTGATTGCATACCAAAAGTTAGCTAGAAAAGGATTATCTTGAGGTGATAAATAATTAAACTAGAAGAGATCACTCTTGCCATGAGGAAATCAGTAGTAATACAGTTGGTTGTGACATTAGTTAATATCCCACAGGGAGCATTACTTCCGCCCCTTAAAGTTCCAGATAGGCCTTTTAAATAAGTTATAAATATAAAAAAACCAAGTTCCAGAACTTTCTGCAGAATGTTTTTACTTCTCTTGGTAGACTCGATTTAGCAAATTTACATTTTATCCGTGTAGGATTGTGAAAATTGGTAATTTTTTAATTAAGATCATGAACTGATCAATGTTGGGTCACCATTAAAAACCTTGAAGCACTAGACGGCCGTTTCGTCCTAGTATGGGACTCCTCGCAGTGCGCATCTACGATCCCGCAAGCGGGACTCAAACTCAGGGCCTTCTGGCGCTTCTAGGTTTTCAATAGTGGTCTAAAATTGATCATGTCATGGTTCCAATTAAAAATTTTACATTTGTTAACATATTTCACAAGACATTTTAAATAAATTTTCATTTAAAACGGTTTTGACTAACTTTATATGATACAATAAAAATCAAAGTTGTGTGTTGAACAGGTAAATATAAACAGATCGTTTTCTTTTATTTTCATAACTTCCATAAGGAATAGGAGAGGGAAGTGTTCCAAATAATGGTACGATTTATAAGATGAAGTATGATAACAAAATTTGTAGAACAGAGATTAAAACTTGGCTTAAATAAACTATGAGGGTGGTGAGTAGAATCAAGAATGTTTACAAACGTTGTAGGTCAATAAAAACGTTTCATTGAAAAGAAGTCAGAGGGTACTATTAGATCATTACAGTAGGGTTAGATGAACAAACAACCTTTTTTTCATAGGTGAGTCAAAGATGACTAGCCCTTTCTAATTCTGTGTATTCTGTCAATAAACTGTGTCGTAGTTTGAAGTTCCAGACATTTATTCACGGACGACGGACAATCTAAATCCATGATCAATACATATCAAACTCTCTTAGTGAAGCACGTTTAAGTTTGAATCAGAGGGGTTGAAGCTCAAGTTACAAGAACTCCTTTTTATTAAAATATACTTTGAGGCTATTGTGAGCAGCAAACTCACATCCAATTCTCAAGCAAACAAAATTATGTATATCACAAACTGACATCAGTTAAACAACCATTTGAACTAGAAAGTACTAGATTGCTATTTCACCATAGGATACACCTCAACGATATACAACCATGACTCTATTAGATATCTAACTCATTATCCTAAGCTTTAGCGTTGAACCCTAACTATAAAACCACCGATATAGTGTCCAATGCTTTATATATCTAATTCCAATCACATAGTGTGCAACCATCATTCAATTCAGTTGATCAGTAGCCGCTTCATGTAAAGTATTTATAAGTTATCTTTGATTCCACATAATTTAATTCTGATTCAAATTTCTCGGAGATAACATCGAATACTGTAGTGATAAGATGTATTATATGTATTCTTCCAAGAAAATACCATAATGATTTTTCCGAAATTTACATAAGACCTCTTTATTAGATTAGATTTTCTTTAATGCAAATCCCCTATTTTTTTAATATATGGATCTGAATATTACTTATTTCCATGGTTAGTCTTTTGTTAGAAAATAGTTTCCAAGACATTAAAGTGACTACTTTTTTTAAAAAAACAAGTCAATAGTATTCTTTTTACGGAAATATTGTAATCTCAGATGGGTTTTGTGGATATTATTCAACATATGCTCACTAGTGACTGGCTTCAAGAGGTATATCCTGGATTTCTAGTGAGAAGTAGTGACCAGTGGAGTTCAACCAGGTCTGTTGTGAGATAGTAACTCACTGAAGACAATGGTGTATGGTGGCGCCCAATATCGTGGATTAGTTGAAGTTAGACATTAACACCGTTGGATACCGGTTCAGTGGTCTAGTGTTTAAGTGATCGCGCGCAGAGCCAGTAGGTGGTGGGTTCGAATGTCGCAGGGAGCGAGGTCATGCATGCACACTGCTGAGGGGTCCCACACTGGGACGAAACGGCCGTCCAGTACTTCCAGGTTTTCCATGGTGATCTAGCTTCAACTGACTCATGATCTTAACCATTGGAAATATTGCAGTCATTAAAATGTAAAATGAAATATGAATGATATTCATATTAGTAAAATAATGAATATTGTGCTTCAGTGCATTTGTAATGATTAAACTTATATTAATCTAAAATAAAATCACTTATTAATAAGTGCATACACTACATCATTATGCTTTGCACTAATCAATCATTTTGGTATTAATCTAAACTATTTAAATGATTTATCATACAAATATGAATACAATAAATGTAAATTACTCAATTATATAATGATTTATAAACATTAACAGTTTAGAAAGTAAGCATAGTCTTTTATTCGAATAAGGCATTCCAATATAATATAATAATAGGTTGGGAAAATGTCTGAAACCAAATGATGATGAACACTCACAGTCTTGTATAAGATTAAACTTATTACCTTAAGGTCTTACAACGACTACAATTAATGTTTAGCAACCCTGATTCTGATACCTGATTCACAGTGTTTTATGTAGTAGAGACATCATTCAGTGTTGTCGATGAGCTAGTATGTTATTCCTAATACAACATACTTCATAAGTCCCAACTTTAAACAAGAATTTTGGAAAAAAAATCTTCTTACAGCTACAATTCAAGTAGATTACAGAGATTTATTTAGTTCCAGTTCAGTTTACATCACAGGCTGAAGTTAAATGAAAAAAATATGGGTAAACTAGGGATTAATAAATAATTGTTTCTTCTTAGTTCAAGGGATTCTATTTATGAATAAATAAAGTGAATGTAAATTTATGACAAACAATTTAGTCGTAGATTGTCTGGTGTTTGACATCAATATACACCTACTGAATCATATATCGGAAGCTTTGAAATAAATTAAGTCCGAAAAATCTTAGCTAATAAATTAAAAGATAGTAGTTTATATTTCATGTTTTTATTTGATTTATTATCATCCAAATATTGTAACCGGTAAAGTTTAAACAAACTTGATAAATTTTAGAATGCACTTACATTGACTTTTTTGACATATTTTACCAATATACGAATATTTTTTATCCCAATTCTCACTTATCTATGACTATATGCTATCTATTATGAAATTTCTCATTTGGTAACAATTGTATATCATCGGTATAGAGTTTTATGGAGATTGTAGAAGTTTCATATTTTTAGTAACAAACTGATCTTAACTTGACTACCACTAAAAATCTAAAAGAACTAGACGGATTTTTCGTCCCAGTACATGACTTCTGTACAAGGCGCATCCACCACTCCACAGCCGGGCCTCAAACCCAGGACCTATGATTTCACATGCGGACGCTTAACCTCTGGACGACTGAGAATGCACATAACAATGTTAGTACCTAACTTCAATCATTTCATAATATCTCGTGACCATCTTTCATTATGTATAGTGGATAACTGTTTCATATGGTTGAACTCCACTGCTCATGGTTTCTCCCTAGAACTCCAGGAATTGAACCTTGAAGATAGTCACTAGTGAGCCCATGATCGTATATTATGACTATATATTAGTAAAATCCAATCTCCTTACATGTTTCTGGATTGAATAATGTTAATTCATGGAATGAATAAACCATTGTTAGATTGATTACAGATATTCAATGTAGCCAAATTTCACATAACAACTCATCAAATTTTAACATATATTTAATTATTGATGGATCTGTAACTTATCAGATACATATATACGATTGTAAAACATTGAAAATCAACTCAAAGTAGAGTAGTTCTTCTTTGAATACCATTTGAATATCCTGTTTTAGGAAATGTTTACGGACAATGAAATTGATATAACTACACTCTGAATAAATAGAAAAATAGAAACAGTTTGAAAACTTAAGATATCCTTATAATCAGAAGGAGTTTGTAGAGATTTCAGAAATTTCACAGGTTGAAATCATGAGTCAATTGAAGCTAGACCACCATGGAAAATCTGGAAGCACTGAAAGGCCGTTTCGTCCTAGTATGGGACTCCACGACCTCGCCCCCTGCGAGATTCGAACCCAGGGCCTACTGGTTTTGTTGACGAGCACTTACACACTAGATCACTGAGCCGGCATCCAACGGTGTTAATGTCTAACTTCAACCAATCCACGAAGTTGCGCCACCGTACACCATTGTCTTCAATAGGCTGATATCTCACAACAGACCTGGTTGAACTCCACTGGTAACGGCTTCTCACTAGAACTTCAGGAGTATCTCTTGAAGTCAGTCACTAGTGAGCAGATGATTATAATGTGTGTATTTATATGTCTGTTACAAATCTCAATATGAAGTTCAATGGCTCCCTTTGTTCACTGTGAATGAATTAATTTACAATGTTCGAAATTGGAATTTGATTTAATTTTGATTTGACTTTCATAAAATGTAGAAAAACTATTCATAAGATGATTAAGTTTGTGTCATTTGTAAACTATCAATGTTCTATTGTAAATGTTAATAATAATAATCCATAACAACATTCAATTGAAAGCAAACTATGTACATTAAATGTACAATATTTGTTTAAATACGTTATTTGAACTCTTTAATATAAGTTTGTTTTCTTAAATTATAGTACGATGAAAGTCCAACTCAAAAGAAACAACCTATTAGATCAACTGACTATTCATATAAAAAAGATGAAACTCAATCATCAATATCAACTTTGGAGACAAAACCATCTAGTAGACAAGAAGAAATTAGGGACCATGAACATTCAACTCAAAAATCATACAACTCATATAAATATAAATCACATGAACCTATTGGATATAAAGAATCTACTGATTTAAATAAACAAGAATCAGAAACAAAATTAAAGAATATTCAATAAAGAGAAATGAAGAGTCCTCTTTGTTAAATAAACCGAATAGTAATAATAATGAGAAGAATATCAATAAGAATGATAATAATTTAAGCTATTACACAAAAACTGATGAACATAAAACTGAGAACAAAGATGATAAAGTTATTTCAAAAAATCAACCAACTGTTACTCAAAGCATTACATCAGTATCGTTTGTTTCAGGTAGTGATAAGTATGATTCGACTAAGTCAAATGAAGATAAAACATCATCTAAGAGTACAGTCAGTAAACCTGTATCAATGAATGATATTGAAACTCAAATAGAAAATTTATTACAGGAAAATTTAAAGAAACTGATTTCGAAGATTCAGAAAACAAAAACAGATGAAAGTAAGCAATCGTCTTCACTACCATCTTCACCATCCGAATCCTCATCAACACTACCAGATCAACTGCCTCCTTCACTTGTTAAAAAGGATGAAAATTATTACAAATATTATAGATCTAATCATGACGAAATGCGGCGTAGACCTAACAATGAAGATGATGAAAGGAAACTACATGATAGACATCATCATGAACGTAAGTTAAACTCAAATATTGACATCAGTATAAAGATTTAACTGTGAAATTCAGTTGTGATCAGTAGAAAATTATTATGGTAGAATGCTTGTGAAGACTGTTCTCTAATGACCTGGTTAAGACAGACATTAGTTGTGACGTTGGATCATAACCACGCAATTTCACTAATTGACTAAAGTTTAGATAATTAATTGATTAGATTACAACTCAGTGATCTAAAATTACTACCTTTGACAAAAGACCTGAAAGCAAAGTCGAGAGTGAGTGTCCCTAACGACCTTCAAAATAGTGCAATAAAGATATCCAATAATCTCTCCTTTTCAATGGTAATCTAGTTAAAGTCAATTTGTATTGTAAACTATCTCCGTAACGAACATTCACTCTTTTATAATTTAAAATTTTTGTCCAACATTTCACGAATAAGATAAAACAGGGAATTTAGATTTTCACCAATTAATATATCGAAAGTTAATTGATCTCCAGTCTTGTACATCAACTGATGAGATACATTTCCCTGAGTTACATTTTGATCATAATGATCTGACAACACGCTATGTTAAGAAAGTCATAATGTTTAAAACTGATGTATATTTTCTGTTCAAATGGAAGTAAAACTGCATAATAAAAATGAAATATGATTCCTGTATAGAACTAGCAAATATCACGAAATATGATCATAGTTTATTTTACTTAGTTTTATAGTAGAGAGCACCAAAAACATGGTTTCATGGTTTTTTTACTCATTAATAAGTCTTGTCTGTAATTCAATTAAAATCAACGTGTTAAGTATGCCTGAACACCGATTACCACGACGTGCAATGCAAACCGGTGTTGAAGATGGTTGGAAGAAAGTTACGGGTGGCCAAAGAAAAACGTGACATCAGTGCTTGAAGTCACTAACTTCTAGTCTGAGTCATGTTGGGAGATGCAGACTACTTGGTTGGGATCCGTGTGACTATCGTAACAAATGGTTGGAGACTCTTGGTGACATGGCTCAGAATCCATCACAATGGCGTGGGTGTATACACTCTCTGTCTTCCCTTAAACTAAGAGATTAAAATGACTTCATATCTTTCTTTCTTCGAACTAATTCTTTCTTCCTGTAATATATCCTTATATGCAATCTTTCTTTTATGTATTACCACCTCTGAATTAACTACTTTTATGAATCCGGTGTTCATCTTGTTGTGTTAATGAGGTATGGCAACTTAGACTCATGGGTATATGTGCCTGGTCCTACGTTGTAGCTGACTGACTGACTGACTGATTAACCTGAATCCTTTAACTAGATCAATAAAAAAAGAATACAGTATATGAAAGTTGTGATTCACATCGGACTGGTCTGATTAATTATTCTGTTCTTCTTAATAATCATTTAAAGCATTGAGCCATACTTGGGGGCACGAGTTAGTTGAATATTGCATATAAGATTTACAATGAATAAAGTTATCCATTTATTTGTTTAAAGATTATTTATTCGCTCAGTTTGTGTAAAATAAGTAAATTTGAAGAAAGCAATCCTCATAAATTTACACTACTTGATAAGTTACCGAAGTATATATCGAAGTATAGATGATGTTTAGAGGATAAAATAATGTAATTGTATCTTCGATTTGTCTAGTTATCACGTAGATCGGTTAACGTATCATTCAGTTTGTATAACATTGTTTTTGATCTCTAGTCATCATTCAAAACTAATTCGATTAAAATAATACAATATAGGTAAATGAATAATGTTGTTTTCAAGAAGACCATCATCGGGCTTTACTGTAATATACAATAACATTTATATGCATATGCTAAGTTACTAAACCAGTCAAGGCAGTTAATGAGTCAGTGATAACAGTGTAATAGATTACATAAATAAAATAAACAATGAACTAGAGCTTATTCGTAATATGTTGATTGAAATGACTTATCTAAAAGGTTTTTTGAAGAAACACTTACATGTAATGAACAGGAAGCACCTTAGATGCCGTTGCTGTTCTGCATCACAATATAGTGTTCAACTTGAAAAAGGGTAAGAAGTATGTTCGATGCGCTTTTCTGGACTATACTTCAGCTTTTGATTTTATACTAGGACAACATTTACTTAACAAGTTAATCAGCGTCAACACTGACAGCTGGATAACCAACTGGCTATGTTCCTACCTCTCTGGAAGGGAACAGTACACTGTTTGGAGGAAAGTGTTCAGAGTCCCTACTGTTTCATGAAGGTGTACCACAAGGAGCTGTTCTTTCACCTCTTCTTTTCTTTTTTTTCTGCATGACCTGCCATCTTCCACGGAAAACACTTTGTGAAATATGTGGATGATCTCACTATATGTATACCTATCTCTTCCTCTTTACATCCCATAGAAATGAATAAGTTTTTGTCTCGTATTGATTGTTGGTCTGTTGGTAATGGTCTCATACTTAATCCGTCTAAATGTCAAGCTGTTAACTTAAACATGAGACATGAACGGAACCTAAACAACATTTTGAGATTACATAATGCTTGTGCCATTGAAGACTATTTGATAAACACAGTGTTGAAGGTCAATTATCTTGGTGTTACCTTTTCCTGTGATCTCTCTTGGTCTTCCCACGTTTTATCGTTATCGAAGAAGGTTTTCCGTCTGACGTATTACATAAAGAGATTGCATGCTCTTGGAATTACTCGTCACTTACTCTTACAACTTGTCAATTCTTGCATATTACCTATTATTCTTTACCGACCTCCATGATTCTTTACCGGGCTTTTGAGAAAAGACTTTGCTGTATTGCGTAGAGTACTGAAGGCAGTTAGCAAGGTGTGTGGTGAATCTTTCGAGGTCATAATTAATATGATTGTGGATAGACATCCAAAGTCATGCAAACTCCTGGCAGGTGTTATTTTATCAGATACTAGCCATCCCCTTCACTCTTATCTTTCTGCTTGTATATCTTCTGGTAGAATGAGACGTAATTACATTAAAATCCATGCATGCAAGCAAAAGTATAAAAGTTCTATAATACCTTACCAAGCAAATATACTCTGTGACAAACAGGTCGTTAGAGTCAACCTAGTCAATAATCTGCATTCTTAACATGTCTCTAATTTGGAAAGTTGTACAGTTTTTCAGATTTTTTTAACCTTTGTTGCTTTCTTTTTTGAGTTTGTTTTTTGTAAAAGAAACCTGTTGAAATACCTTGTACTGAGAATTCTATATTGTATCAAAATATAATATTGAATAAAGCCATTAATAATAATAATAATAATAATAATAATAATAATAATAATAATAATAATAATAATAATAATAATAGCAACATCAACGGTTAGTAAGAAACTTCTATGATCTCAGATGCTTCTGTGGAGAAAGCCATATTGGGTGCACAGCCAGGTAGCTAGGTCAGTGAGTTAGTGAACACATCCCTTCATGGTTAGCAAAGGGTATCGTCAAGACAATACACAGCTTTGTTCTATAACATTTTATCGATAACAATCATATGGTAGATAGAAATACGTCACTTAAAGTGATTTATCGTATTCCTACTAACTTACTATATGAAGTTTGGTCTCGTCTCTTGCATATAGCAGAAGCTATAGGAATTCGAGCTAACAGTCCAAGTCTTCGTATTCATGAGAAATTTGTATTGACTTTATCTTTTCCTTGGCCGAATTAGCTTTAATAAACGATTTTACTTATTGGCTATTATTCTCCACACAGTTTATTCGCTTTTTTTCTTCAGCCCTTTTTCTAAATGTACGCTCCTCCGTCGAATTATCTGAACACTTCCTTTTTTGTAATCTTATGAATGTTATTTCAACATCTATAATTTTCAAGTCATTAACCTAATTCCTATTACAAAACACGGATTCATGCCTCTGTTATTCTCATCACGATTAGTACATCATTAATTTGTACGTTTTACTTACTATGTTTAATTACGTAATCCGTTACACTGTTATCACTGACTCATTGACTGCCTTGACTGGTTTAGTAACTTTGTATATACATATAAATATTACTTATTAGAGTAACGTCTGATGATCTAATTTAAAACCAACATTGTTCGTTCATATATGCTGTTCTAATTCACAATATCGAAATTTAAAAAATTAAAAAAATATACAGACCAATGATTGTCCTACTACTAACAAAATTGACAGATCTTTCACTGACTTTTCTTATACGAAGTACTTCCTGATAACAGAGATGGGTGGTGGATGACAGTGAAGTCCAGGACGTGCGTTTCGTCCCATTTGAGACTCTTCAAATGAATGTACTTTTATCCCAGAGTAAGTGTTCACTCCGGACTCGAACCCAGTATCGTCCACTTTAAAGTAGTACTTTTAAAAAACACCTAATGTAATAACTCTTGTCGAAACTCTGGCAAACTATTACCAAATTCAGTGTAAATATAAAAGAATCTCAACATACTACGTAAGATTTTATATTACTCTCTTAGATTTATTTTAACTTACTTTTCTTGATATTTGTCGAGCTATATTCTTGTCTATGAATTAAACATGGAATGTTGATATAAAATTTTTGTTGATTTTCTTCTTAGTATGGAAGATATGTGGATTTCCTTCTTCTTAGAAAAGATTAGATTCTTGCAGAATGAATGTGATATGACATTAAAGTGAATAGACTTGAAGTCTTCAACGTAATTTCTACACAAACTTATTTATTCCTTTAAATATTTATATCATTTTTCATATCGAAATGTTTATTGTACATTAATATAAATAATAGTTATACAGAAGTTGTAAAGGGTATCCTACTAATCATAGGTATTTTATCAGTAAAACTTATTCAAAACAATTAACCAGTATTAGTTAACAATAACTCAAGATTTAAAACACTTTGTCAATTGCTTTCAATGAAATTATATCTTAACACTTCAGCTTACTTAATATAACAGATATATATGAAACATTCTACAAGATAATAATTAGTTTAAATAGTAAACGTCAAACTGTGATGTTGACTCATTGAGCCTAGTAGCTACTTGACAGAATCAACTAATATAAGATAGTTGAAATCATGAGTCAATTGAAGCTAAACCACTATAGAAAACCTGATAGCACTGGACGGCCTTTTCGTCCTAGTTTGGGACTCCTCAGCAGTGCGCATTCACAATCCTGCCCCCCGTGAGATTCGAACCCAGGACCTATCAGTCTCACTCACGCTGCTGAAGAGTCCCATACTTGAACGGAACGGTCATTCAATGCTTCCAGGTTTTTCATGGTGGTCTTACTTCAATGGAAATTACTAAAATCTTTACAAAACCCCTTCTGATAATATAAGATAGTCAACATGAAATGAAATTGTACTGGTTAAATGCTTGATATTTTCGATCACATCTTCAACTGACATTAGTTTTCAAAAGAAAAATTATACTGAATAAGTTATCAATTTTAGCTGATTTCACCTGGTTCTAGTATTCGGTGAAAATGACTTGGATCAATATTTTAAGCTTTTCTACTGTGTTCTACATAAATCTGATTCCTTCGTTCTATTAATTTAACGTATTTTCAGGCTAGTTGATAAGTTCAAACAATATTGATCTTCTTTTAATACGCAAAGGGGATGATACTACAAAAAGCATTAAGTTAACGGAGTAGATTACTGAGACTGATAGAAATAACCTTGATATTTTGATTACTGGAACAAACATTTTTGGCAAACTTTTAGAAACAACGTAGTGAAAAAGTCTAGTATAGACGCAATATTTCCTGCAAACACTTCAATTAACGATACCGTGATCATTCTACTTAGCCATAGAAATTGAAACGGTGACAGTTTCAATACAATAAACAAAATAATAATCGAGAATTCAATAAATAAAATATCGCAACCATTTGACTAAACTATATTTTTCCTGGAATACAGTTTGTTTGTTAAAATAGTTTTGATATATTCCATCACTATTTTCTACTTGTTTGGCAGATGATTACCATCATGATAGACGAGATGACGAACATAGGTTCCATAAGCCAGAAGAATACAAACCTTGGTCAGATAAGCATGAACCTCGACCTTCAACTAAGGACAGAAATATGCCACCATCTCATCATCATGACCATCCGGACTCTCATTTTCCATCTCATCATCCATTCCCATTAGAGTCTGAAAGTGAGTCACACAATCCGCCATCAAGAAATCCATTTCCCAAGCCATTTCGACATCATGAATCGTATAAAAAATATCAAGAAATTCCATATAGACCTCGTTCTCATGAAGAAGAATTTTCAGATCGTCATGTTCATGAAGATGAGGATGATGATCGAAATTCTCACCGGTCCAAAATACCACCAAAAAAGCCAAAAAGTATTGTTCAAGGTGTATCAGCTACTGTCAATCCTACTCAGCCATTAAGTGGCAATGAAGCTAACACTAAAATTCTGGATTCTGTATCAATCCCACTGACTATCAATATTGATGACTTATCCTCTACTGATTGTCCATTTACGCCATGCACAAAAACGTGTCCAGGTGGTTTGTATAAGCTTAACGAAACTACAGGTTGTGCAACTTGTAATTGCTGTCCTAGCATTACCTGTTACAACCAGTGCATTCAAGGATATGAAGCAGATGAATATGGATGCCCTACATGCAAATGCTTAACATCTTATTATTGAACGATTCAATGTCTTACATAATCTGCTTAGGAAATAATTTAACTGATACTCAATTAGTAATATTCGCTATGACCGAATAATTGAAATTGTTAAATGCAATACTGATAGTATTTCTTTGTGTTGCTACTTATCAGTAGTATGGAATCCCTGAATAAGATTCCACATAAAGAATAATTACAAAGTGATTTCATTTATTGAGTGGTTTCTCAATGTACCAAATATACATATTTTTAAAATTTGAAGTCAAATTTCAGTTCTAATTGTCTAAAACTATTTGAACATAAGTTTTCAGACTTCTTTTTAAACATTTTTAAATGAGTAGAACATTGTAACTGTTCCGAAACTGTGATTTATTGTATTCGGTATCTCTGTGAATAAAAACCACGAAATATTGCATGTAGTGAGGTAAATAAATATTCCGTTCTAGATTATTATTGTAAGATATATTTCCCATATTTTCAAATAAGTGATCACAAATGAAATAACCTCAAAAACTACTTATAAACTGCCTACTTCCTTGAACACAATCTCTGAAATCAAAATTATAGTTATCTGCGAACACTGGAAAAGTTAGATTTTATCATACCAGTTCTAGACCAAGATGGGATGGTCCATATACCTCTTAAATTTGTACATTAAATATATATGTTCCTAACCACGTAATGGTCTATCCAGGGTCATAAGCGTAACATTTAACTAAAAACGATGGTACCAATTTTCCCAGTTAGCTGGCATCAACTTGATTTAATGCACCACACTGTTCAGTTGTCAAAGAAGCTCTCTTAGAGAAAAGTTTGGGTATCTTAAAAGGTGAATGAATTACCTCCTAAGGACTTTCAACTTAATAATCACGCTGTTCCAGCTGAGTATTTTGTGCGTAGCGAACGATAAAAAACCGAGATACCTTACATACAGTAAACTACAATATCGGAGTATGCCAAACATACGAATAATAAGCATTCCTACACTTTAATTCCTAACATCAACCCTAATACCTAATCCAAACTCCTGGTCACAATTCCCAACAGCTACTCCTAACCCTTGATTTCATATACTAAATTTTAACCCAATTCCATATCTTCACTTCTTATAATTAACTCCATCCTAGACAACAACTGTTTAGGTTCCGTCATTAATATTCTTGTGACGCAAACCTTATCAAAATTACCAAACATAAGAACATTAGTCAACATGTTTCTGTAATCTATGAAGTATGATCTTAAAACCACAGTTTAGTACTTGAAGGGAAAGGGTATGTACTGTAGTCTGATAACAGACTATTTTACCTCGAATTATACGTTTTGCATTCACTTCCAAAATTTTTAAAATGACTGAACGGAGCAAAGAATCTTTTAAAGTCATAGTAAGAGATACTCGAGTCTTTAAACTTTATATTTAAGGACGGTCAGCGACAGATAGTATCTAACTACCGGCCTGTCAGTCTAACTAGCATAGTCGTTAAGTTACTTGAAAAGATAATTCGGATTAGGTTGCTAAGCCACATAGATTTACACAATCTGTTAGCTCCTGAGCAACACGGATTTCGTAACAAGCGGTCATGCTTGACTAACTTGCTTATTGCGAGGAAGGATTGGACAGCAGCCCTAGATAACGGTCTGTCTGTCGACGTGATATTCATAGATTTTAGCAAAGCGTTTGACAAGGTTTCACACGTAGGTTTTATGCAGAAGCTCACGAGCTTCGGAATAATAGGTACTGTACATGAGTGGATAGGAAATTTCTTATGTGACCGCAGACAGAGAGTGAGGGTCAATGGGACGCCATCCGATTGGAAGCCGGTCAAATGTGGTGTACCTCAAGGCACCATCTTAGGCCCTCTGCTCTTCCTTCTCTGCGTTAATGAGTTACCGCTGTTACTTAGGTCGTCGACATTATTGTTTGCGGATGATGTAAAAATCTGCAGAACAATAAAAAGTGCGGCTGATCATGTGGATCTTCAAGCTGACTTAGACGATTCAGTTAGATGGGCTCGAGAGTGGGGCTTAGAAATCAATGCTAGGAAGAGTGTACTAATGCACATCGGCCACGGTAATAGTTACCGTTACACTATTGAGGGTAAACCTCTTCCTTGCGTTCAAGAGCATAAAGACTTAGGAGTAGTATTAAGTCATGATTTAAAAGCAACTACGCATTGCAAAGTAGCCGCTGTTAAAGGTTTTCGTGCGTTATGGTCACTTCGCCGAGCGTTCAAATCTTTTGACGAGGAAACGTCTCGAATTTTATATGCCATATATGTTAGACCACATTTAGAGTACTGTATCCAAGCAGCTAGCCCGTGTCTGGTAAAGGATACTAACTCACTTGAGCGTGTCCAGCGTGTGGGAACGAAATTAGTGAAGGGTCTTTCTAGACTCCCTTACGATGAGCGTTTAAAACGCCTAAATCTTTACCCCTTGTCGTATCGTAGGACACGAGGTGACCTTATACTGGCATTTCGTATTGTCTTATCTTTTTGCTCCCTCCAGCACTAATAATCTCCGAGGTCATAGCAAGGAGGTTCATAAACCACGATCTAATAAACTTAAAGTGGGGTCCCGTTTTTCTCATCGAGTAGTCAATGATTGGAACGCCTTACCTGAACAAGTGGTATCAGCCCCATCAGTGAATACTTTCAAGGAAAGACTGGACCTTCAGTGGAAAGCAATGTGTCAGGATTAACACAGGTTCACCAACCTACTATCCTTATTACTGAAGACTGATAAGGAAGCGAAATGGGCTTTCCCGGCATAGCCAGAGTTGTTAATAAGCTGTATGCTTCTTTTCTAATGAATGTGAGGAAGTGTGCCACAATATTAACATCCTCATCATCTTCCTTGGTCATAGCCCAGATTTCGAACCTTTCAAAGTAATCTTCAAAAGCTTCCGAAGTTTAATGAATATCTAGCATTTCCATTACAGGCTCCATCGCGACGCCAGTATAACGTTTTGAATTATTTGAATTATAGTACGAACTAAGAGTCCCAGAAATTACGCAATTGAATTAAGAAGTGAGATACAAGCACAAACGAACGTATTGTATTTGGAATTCGAAATCCAGCATTCAACAAGTACAAAGGTATCATTAGTTCATTCAAACACCACATATTCTCTAAGTTGACTTGAACTAGGCGGTACACATCAGCACAACGTTCACGAAGATTATGAATTTATGGTACATGTACAAAAGAGTTTATACTGTAAAAGGTGTTACAATGTTTGCAACAATTCTTTATATCGTCGTGGACGGGTGGCCACTAAAACCTCCAACGAATGGCATGTTACATTTTTCGTTTTCCCAGGTGGCCGAGTTCACGATGCACAACATATGATCAAAGCCGTGTCACATCTGAAGTTTGTGTAGGAAAAACCGCAAAGTTGCTATTAAAATGACCTGTGTACATCGTTTGATCTACTAATATCCTAAAACATGTCTCCAAAGGAGCGCACATGCCATGAATAATTCTGGGGAACATTATTTTTGTCGATTCTCAGGGTTTATTGTCCATAGAAATTCTTCCTTCATAAGATAAACTGGCACTATGTCAAATCACATTGCGATTTCGACGCCCTGGACTCTACCTCTAATTGTAATAGAACAAAGATACAACATATCACGAAGGTAAATGTTAGGCGTTGTGCTTAACCTGATTTTGGGACTTTTCATGTCCGCATTCTCGACCTCTCCAACCAGGCCGTCAGCAGTAAAAGCAGTCTGTTTTCCGGTGCTTATAACGTGATCGAAATAATTGTCTGTCTAGAGCTTGCCGACAGCCCATACTTTGGTTTGGGAAGTATCCAACCGATGTGATCCTGTTGTCTTCTCTAGAGATACCACTGCCGGCCAGTGTGCACATGAGTGACTTGAAAAATTATCAGCAGCTGTAAATCAGAGTAACGTCATCTTTAGGTTTACAGCAATGGCTAGTGGCACCCGAAGGTGTTGTATGAAGGCAAATGTTAAAATCCCTTCGATGAGCCTCGAGCATATTATTTCTTTTCGCCCCACTACATCCATATGAGGAAATGCGTAGACAGTCAACAGCTATAGAGAGAAAATATTTGGCGGAATACTCACTGAGTTGCTGGTGACTGAAAAGAAACTGGACAGCACGCTGTTGAGTGTCTACAGGTACGAAAAGCACTCATCCAGGATCTCACAACTACAAACAGGTGGATTACCTGATGCAAATCCACTGGTTGTTGCCCTCCTGTCCGTTTCGTCATTCAAGCACCAAGAACGGTGTTCAGTGTTATCTTCTGTTTGTACTTTGCGTAGATACAACGTCACGAACAGTTTCCAGGTCAAATAATCTTATGTGGATTCTAGCAGCTGAGGTTTACGAGGCGTTGAGCCAAGCGTAGTTGCCCTGACTAGTGGCACAAGTGGTTAGTCATACTTTTAGTCATGGGTTATCGTTGTCACCTCCATCGCCACTCGCAGCAGGTGCTATAGGCATGTGCTGGATGGCCAGAAGGATCTCAAAACAACTGAAGACGAAAGAGAGTCGGGTAATACACGAGGAGGAAGAGCACAAAGTGCCAGCAACAACGTAAATATTTTTAAAAATCGAAGCACACGATTGCATTACAAAGGAGAAAGACTATTTATAAAATAGCTTCATACATCATTCTGCAAATTTGGTTTATGCAGGGCCTGTTCTTCCAGTACATTTATCTTTTATTGCCCTGCAATAAAATACTGATTCACATTGATAAAAGTACACATAAATATTTTACCGCTGTTACATAACCCCTTTTTCTGTGTGAAACACTATCCTCAGTGCTTACTTGTGAACATGAATATGCCATACCTCCATCTGGTGGTACATTGTAACCGCTGTTTGTTGGCAAGGAGCAATATATCTGGAAGCATCGTCGTTCGGTCTTGTTTCAGGTGGTCACGATATTTATGTGTACTTTGTAGTGACTCACGTTTATCACGAGAACACGACTGGTTTATTAAAAACAATTATTATTATAACCAACTGTACCAGTGTTTG